TTGATCTTCCCAGAAAAAGGAACTCTAATTTCACTTATAAGAACATGAAGGAGGTAAGTTCATGGTTTAAACTAAGAAATTTAAACTGTAAAGGCTATATATAATTATGATTAAATTATTGAAACAACAGAAGAGTAATAATTTTATTTGAACAATGAATAGAATTAATGAAATGTTGAAAATAATTTCTGTTCCCAAAGTTCAAGCTTTTGCCCAACTATTTTGATAGGATATTATTTGGATATTTAATAATGAAAGAGGGATCTCTGAGATGTGTTCAGCTTTTGCAAGGCTAATTAATATAGATATAACTTCTTTTAACTCATTAAAATTTAACTCACTAAGCAAGCACCTAGTGAGTATATGTGGCATATAGTAAGTATAATATATGACTAGGAGTGTGGAAAATGAAGAGTTGGTTACACCTACAGTATTGCAACATAGAAAGCTTTAATGACATTTTTAGCTATTGATATCAGCCACACAATTTATATAACTCCATTAAAAAATGTAAATATGTACAACTATTTCATTTTCAGGTTAAGAAATCTCCAAAACAGTTGGCTGCTTACATAAATAGGTAAGGCAACTTTAAAATTTGTGGGAAACAAAAAATACTGAAAACTGGGAAAGAGTGAAAATAGGGAAAAAAGCTATTCTTTTTTTTAATCATAATAATAGTTGCCTTCTTATCATACCATTCCTGTGTGCCAGGGACTGTGCTAAACAGACAAGGGGGGTTCAAAAGTTCATGGAAATTTTCCATTATCGTTTAATTTCATTTCTAAATTAACTTTTTGAAGCCTTTTCATGCCTCAAGAAAAGGACTTCATTGATGAAACTATTGAATTGTATGATACATGGATTACGGCCCAATAAAACTGTTTATTAAAAGAAGAAAAGCAAAGGACATCATAGTTGACAAACTAGATCAGTGGGAATGAGGGAAACTCAATAATGGGTACAGTAACCAAAGCACTGGACTCAAACAACCTTGATCCTGATGATGGTACAGGCCTGGGCAGTTCTTCATCCTCTTATACACAAGGTATCAGAGTTGGTAAAAATAGATCGTCAGGGGAAAAGCACGCTGAGATTTATTGACATAGTTGAAACAATAGGTGCAAGCATTCCAATGATCACGAAGTGGCAAAGCACCAAGTAGCACTTAGCTTGATATATTTAAGGTCACCTGAGTCCCAGCCAACTTGGTAACAACTAACAATAAGAACATACACTGAAAAAGTGATAAAAATGGTCTTCCTTCTCAAATTGACATTAGGTTGTTGGGATCCCTGAAGCCCTTTCAGGGAGTTTGTGTTGTTAAAACTATTTTTCCTAATAATATCAAGCCATTATTTACTTTCTTCATTTCCATTCTTATACAAGTAACTGCAGTGCTTTTTCTAAGTTTGCGGTACATTTATTGTCACAATAGATTGAATGCAGAAGCAGATAGAAGAATCAGGTTATCTTCTGCGAAGCCAGATATTAGAGATTTGCATAAAACAGAAATAATGCCTTTTTTTCTAATATGGGGTGGGGGACACAGAATACTTAAAGGGTCCTGAGACCAAAAGTTTGCTATTGGCAAGTTAGTTCTGATTTTAACAGTTGTACGTACAAACACATGAAACGCTGCCTGAACCTGTACCATCCTCAAAATGC